AGGGAGGCTTCCGAAGTTCCTCACATCGTCCCCAGAGCCCCCAGGTCCTGCTCCTTTACCCTCTAGGGCCAGGAAGAGGCACTGCCTTGGCTACACCCAAACAAAGGTGTGTGTTTTGTTTTCTGGTTTTCCTGCTGGGGCTGCCATGCTGGTGCTGACCACCAGGGGTCAGGCTGTGCCCACTATGCTCCCTGAAGCCACCAGAGCCGGGAAGGGACACCCAGGGGTCATGCTGGGCGTCCCCTGCCTCCACCCCAACAGGCACCTCTGATCATTAGCCTCCATGTCCCCCATGTGAGCTGCTCAGAGGCAGGAGGGGGCTCTGAGACCGTCTCGTGGACTCAGGCAGCTACTGGACCCCTGGCCCTCACCCCGAGCAGGGGCTGTGCTGGGCCTGGGGGTGGGGCTGGAAGGTCCCCCGGGGTCCCTGTCCTCCAGGGGCTCCCAGCCCAGAGGAGGAGATGGACCAAAGCACAAGAGCAAATCCAGGTGAAAGGGAAGAGCAAGGGCTGCAGGGAGGCGAGGCGGGGTGAAGGAGGGCGGGCAGGGGCCCCTGTCTGGGGCCTCACGGGCCTCCAGGGTGAGCCTGATGCTGGGAGCAGAAGGACAGGAGCAGCCAGCCCTGCACACATCTGCTAGCAGTGTGCTGCAGGGAAGGACCAAGCTGCAGAGACCCGGAGGCAGAGAGCCTTGGGCAAGAGAGGAGCTGAGAGAGAGCTGGGGAGAGGGCTCTGGAGGGAGGGGGCAGGGCCAGACCCCAGCCTGGAAGGATGTACTACTAGCTGTCTGCACCGTGGGACACGCTGGCCTTCCGTGCACCGTGTCACAGTTCCTGTACCAGAATCCGGCTCAGCTCAGGGGGAGCCTCTGCCTCCAGGTCCCCCAGGAGGCCGGGGCTGCAGCCTCTACTCAGGCTCGACCGGGGCAGGCTCTGTCTCCAAGACCGCTCACGTGGTACTGGCAGGATTCATCTGGGAAATGGGTAGGTGCAGAGAGATATTCCAGAAGGAAGTATCCTGTGGTCAGGCTTGATTCGGGGAGGCTGAAGATGAGGATGATAATGAAGGCCTGTATCTATTGTGTGCTCGCATGTGCTCTGTCCTCACTGCGCTAGGTCACCTCCTGAATCGCCATCAGGTTCCTGGGCTCTGCCTAGAACACTGGCTTGGCTGCGCTTGGCCAGGGTGACCGAGGTGGGGGTTGGTACCGGGGGACTGAGTGTATTTGGTTTTTGTTGCTGCTGTGACAAAGTACCACAAATTGGGTGGCTCAAAGCAACAGAAATTTATTCTCTGTCACTTCTGAAGGCCGAAAAGTCCAAAATCAGGTGTTGGCAGTTCCATGCTCTCTCTAGAAGCTCAAGGAGAGGATCCTTCCTACCTCTTCCGACTTCTGGTGGTGCCAGCAACCCATAGCGTTTTTTTGGTTTTTTTTTTAAGATTTTATTTATTTATTTGACAGAGAGACAGCACAAGTAGGCAGAGTGGCAGGCAGAGGGAGAGGGAGAAGCAGGCTTCCCGCTGAGCAGGGAGCCCGATGCGGGGCTCGATCCCGGGGCCCTGGGATCGTGACCTGAGCCGAAGGCAGCGCTTAGCCAACTGAGCCACCCAGGTGCCCCTATCCCATAGCGTTTCTTGACTCATAGGTGCGTTGCTCCAAACTCTGCTTCGGTGTTCACATAGCCTCCTCTGTGTGTCTGTGTCCAATTTTCCCCATTTTATAAGGACTCCAGTCATTGGATTGGGGCCCACCCTCCTCCAGTGTGTCCTCATCTTAACCTGATGACATCTGCAAAGACACTATTTCCAAGTAAGGTTTATTCACAGGTGCTGGGTTAGCTTTTTGGGGACACAGTTCAACCCACAACAGGAGCACTGAGTGCCTCTTGCCCCGAAGGCCAGGTCCCCAGGTGCCCCGAGGGCTGGGGGAGCAGTTGGGGTCTGGGGAGGTCTTGGGCACCCCTCCGGCAGAGGCCCCCTGCGCCGGGTTGTGGCCTGAGTGCGGTCTGAGAGTGTGCCGTCAGGAACAGCAGGTGGCGCTGTGACCCCCTTGCCGCATCCCCAGCCCAGCTCGGAGCACCACTGGGGTAGACAAAGGTCTCACCTTCCAGTTGCGAGGAGACAACACCCAACTGTAAACACAACAGGAGCCCCATCATTTCAGGGGTGACACTCACCACAGAGGAAGTCAAATAAGGTGGGACCACATGGTAGTGACTCGGTGGCTCCCTGGATGGGAGGCCCGGGAACCTAGCAGGGCCAGGCCTCCCCAGGTCGGGAGTTGGCGTTTCCTTCTACACCTGCAAGCCGAGCCAGCCCTTCTCAGCCATTTTCAAGAGCCCTGGGCTCCTCCCAGGGCAGCTAGGATTACCCTCTGTGGTTTCCTGGCAGGTCACGTGTTACTGCCAGGGCGGCTGTCTCTGAGGGGAACACGGAAGGCAGCCATCTGGATGGGTGGGCTGTCGAGACTTGAGGGGTCCCTGTCCCCAGAGACCCTGCCCAAGGGGGGGGCAGTGCTGCCTGAGCTCCCCCACTGCTCACCTGCTGGGGTTCTGCCCTGTCCTCATACAAACCCGAGAAGGCCACCTGGGGCTGAGGAACAGGGGCCCCAGGCTCCCCACGGGAGAATAGGCTCCTAGGGGCATCAGTGGAATGAAGCAAAGTGCCCAGAAGTGAGGCCATTTCTCACTGTGGCCCCTGGGCACTCCCGGGTCCCACGAGGCTGAGGCCGCTAGCCCTTGACAGTGGGTCACTCGCTAATTCTCACAACGGAAACTAACCAAGGGCCTCTGTGCAAAGCTCACCTTGGTTCAAATCTGAGAAGATGAGACCATGGCGAAGAAATACAGGAATGGGGGCATAGGACAGAGAGTAGGTCCTAGGAGAAGGCATGGGGCTGGGAGGCTGGGGACCTGGGGTCGGTGGCCGCTCGGGGCTGTGCTCTGCAGACTAACTCCCAGGCCCTCCCCCACTTCTGCGGGGTGCTGTGGACAGCCAGGCTGTAGCGCCTCCCCTGGGCCTGGCCTTGGGCTGCCGTGTCTCATTGTATCCGCAACACAATTACCACTGCCATCTTTATATACAGAAGGGAAAACTAAGGCACTGGACGGTGAACAGGCTCCCCAGCTAGGTGATGGCAGGGCTGGTGGGGACACATCCCTGTGTGCAGACATGCCTGGGAGGGGCCGGGCCTAGGGGCTGGCACCAAGTTCCTTGCAATTGCAATGAGCTTCCAATGTCAGGGCTGGGCAGGCCCCAAGGTGATGGTTAACAGCGGGAGTGGAGACATAAACAGAGTTAATGAGCCCCTTCGTCCTCTCCCCGTTTTAATGAAGGCCTTGGGCTCTGGGCTCTGCGTTTTCTCAGAGTTCTGGGGTTTTGATCCTCAGAGTCTTCACTTAGGGCCACCGCTGGGTGCGTCTCTGTGGGGGTTGGGGAATCTAGATGTCTCCTCCCAGGGCAGCTGAGCCAGAGTGAGGAGGTGGAAAAGAGAGGGCATCCCCCTAAAAATGACAAGCCCCAGAAGGAGGGAGAGTTCCCATGGTAACCTGGAGCAGTTGCTTGGCAACTACAGGTCCCCAAAATACTTGCCAGCAGGCAGGCTCAGGGCTGGGGCTTTCCAGTGGCCTCTGTGTAGACCCTAGCTGTGGGGTCTGATCCACCCCCCACCCAGCAGCCCCCGCCCTGGATCCTTCCTGAGGGAAACCCCAGTCTGCTCCTCCCTCCCCGTTACTCCACCCTGCCAGCCAGCCACCTTGTGTCAGGCCATCCCCTTAGCAACAGAAGCTACTTCCTGGATACCTGAGTGACAGTTGGTGGTGGCACGATGTCAGAAAATGTAGGGTCAGAGGGCGCCGTAGATGGGGCCGGGTGCCAGCCAGGGGAAGGGGAAGCTGGGCTTGGGGCCCTGGACATTGTACCCCCTACAGCTGCGAGTGACCTGGGCCTGGGGACAGGGTGGCAGGGCAAGGTGTGGCTGGGAGGGTTAGAGCCCCTGGAATAGGGGACTCTGGTTCTGATCCGGGCCAGCTGAGACTGACTAGCTCTGTTGACCTTGGCATGTCGCTGGCCTCAGTTTCCCCATCTGTGGCCCCATCTTCCCCTACGCTTGTGTGTGCACCATTCGGTGCATGAACACTGCCCTGTAAATCATGCCACCTACTGGGGCTTTGGGGTGGCCAGGACCAGACTAGCCTCTGTGCTTGCTCCTCCGCTGGCCTGCTTCCACCTGCTTCCCATCTGGGTGCTGGGGGTAGGCAGGCGGCCTCACGGTTAAGGCCATTGGCTTTGGAGATGGACACCTGTGTCCGGATCCCAGTGCAGTGCTTCTTACCGAGTGTCCTAGAATGCGTGCTAAACCCCTCCGAGCCTTACTGTTCCTCCAGCTGTGAGCAAAATGTGGCGACAGAAGGAATCCAGTCATGTGGGCTCTGTTAGGGCCTTTTGTTTGTGGGCGCTGACCCCGTCCCCAGCAGTGAGCACACAGACCAGGGTTGTGTCCACCGGGAGGGAGCAAGGCCCCGGAGCCCCTTGCCTTGCCTTGGAATGGAGGAGAAGGGCCTTTGGGGTCCAGACTGCCCTGCGGCGGGGGTTGGATTTTGGAGCTGGGAAGGGTGTGAGGCGCAGGTACCCTCAGGAGTTCTCTCTGGGGAGGGCAGTGATGGGTAGTCTTGTTGGTGACCTCAGGGGTTCCCAACGTGCCCTCAGGGAGCCAGGATTCTAGTCTGACCTTGACCATTCACTCACTCTGTGATCTTGGGCCATCACCCCACCCTCTGAGCCTCCCAGGCCCCGGCTGTCAAAAGGGGAGGGGGCGTGCCCACCTCCGGCCTTGGGAGGAGGCTTGGGTGGCATCCTCAGCCCTGGGCCGGGCACCCACGTTGGATTTGGGGGCGGCGGCTCCGGCTCCGTTGCTCCCGGGCCGCGCCTCTGCCCACTCTGCCCAGCCGCCCCTCACTCGTGTGCGGCGGGAGGAGGGGCGGGGCGAGGGCGGCGCAGACAATGGCCCGGGCCGGGTGGTGGCGGCAGTGCCCCGAGCGGGGCGGGGCGCTGCAGGCCGGGTGCCGGGCGACAGCAGGCGGCGCGCTCCTGTCCTCGGCCCCAGGCGGGGTGCAGCCCCTGCCCGCGTTCATGCTGCTGGTCCCGCCGAGTGTGCGGGCGGACGAGGTGAGCCCCAGCCCCACGGGCGGCCGAGGAGGGGATGGGGCAGGGCCACACGGCGGCGGGAGCTAGGACGCGGGAGG